CGTCAGGAAACTTGAAATGAATTTGCATAAACTTCGGGCCAGGTCCCGAGTCCCAAATTGAAATATGCCAGGCTGCCAAAACAAAAGCCAGCCAACGGTGGTAAGAAAGGGAGGTGGGTGGGCGAGGGGTTCCACCTCCTCGTCCTTCGTCCTTCGACAAGGGTTAAGAAATAGGTTTAAGGGTTGCCACGTTGGCAAGCTGACTTTATTTGCAATATGGAAATATTTTTCATTACCTTGTCTCCATTTACCCCCCTTTTTCATGTCAATCGCTGGCTGTCAAGACGCTGGAACTCCCATATCTGCACTGCTTGTGGTTCTGCATGCGGATATGGATGCGGATCTGGCTGCGGATGTGAATGCGGATTTGGCTGCGACGCTTGTCTTGGCATATTTGATGGCAATATTTTTGATATTCCCTGTTAGTCGCTCAGCCACTTATATGCCAATTTCGCAGCCAAACTCGGGTGAAGTGAAGTGAAGCGAGGCCAACTCAGCTTGGGCCTGGGCTTTAACTTTTAGCAAACAAAGGACGGTTCTTAATGGAAGTTTAAGCCGTAGTCAGCAATAGTTTGCACTGGGTATGTGCTCTCCAAAAATGGTTTATATGACCTCGTTTAAAAGCGTTTTAATATGACTCATGCTTTAAAGTGATTGAAGACTAGAGATGCGTTTTCTTTTTATGTTTGCATAATGAATATAAAATTTAAAAAAAATGTAGGTATTTTAAAAATATTCAGGTAGGTGCATTCAATCGATTTGGGTAGCAGAATATGGTAAGAGCTCCAATATTTAAAATAATATATTTTAAAACATTGGGAAGAGTATGGTGCATACTCAACAACAAGTATATAGCCATATTGAGCCAGAATGGCATTGAATATTTTCCTAAATAAATGACATATTTAGTATAGCCCCTACCAAACCCCTTTGAAATCAGTAATATGGGTTTGTGCATCTCTTTACCTATCCAGGCACTTCAAACAAGCGTGACCATATGCCAACCCATCGATCCCGGTTAATGGGCACTCGACCCGAACTGGCTGCATTTGAAGTGCCTGTGCTGTTTGCTCTGCTCACAGATGCGGATATGCGGATAAGGATGCGAGGATATGCGGATATGTGTCGATAGTGGGCCGCTGAGAGCGAAAGTCACAGAAACTGGTCGAACAATAGAGCAATTGAGAAGCAATGAAGTCATCCGATGAGCATATATGCACTATACTCTGGACCCCAGATACATACGTACATAGCAAACCTACGTGCGGCATTAGCGATAATCCGCAGTTTGCCAGATTGTGCTTATGCCACTCGCTTAAATTGAATTGCCACGGCGCTTAGCCAGCGACTTTTAATGCGTTCCATGCAAATAGAGGCGCTCCTTCAGCGCCAACTGCCGGGCACGGACAACAATTACGCGCATTATCCTTTCGACTGGACTCGGACACGGACACGGACACGAATCCGGATCCGGACGATAACACGGCGTTTGCTTAAACAAGCATAAATGCGAAACGCTAAAAGGACACTAAAACGAAACGGAAACGAAAGTGTTGAGTGCTTTTGTCGACACTGCAATGCTCTTTCGAAATTTAAGAGGATTCAAAACTGTGCTCAAGCAATAATAATAAATATGTATATTTAATATTTAAATTTAAAGACAACATCATACAACTTAATTTGCAATAATGAGGAATGTCGTCATTATTAAGAATCTATCGATATGCATATACAAACGATCACTTTTTGAAAATACTTTAGTTATTTATTTTTAATTGAATAATTTTTTTTAAAAATGTGAGCCACGCGTTTAAAAATAGGTAAATAATTTTTTAAAAGATGTTTACCATGCGTTTAAAAAAGGTATATTTTTTTATAAACCAACTAGTATAATTTAGAAAATAACATAGTTGTTCCTAACAGTTTTTTGGTATTTTCGCTTAATTGTGCTTTACAAAGTTATATAGGTATAGGTATGTTATAAAAATACGATTGGTATATTATTTGTAAATCAGCCACAATATTTTATCTTAAAATCAAGTATTTATATTAATAGTTATTTATTTTGATAATATATTAAATATTCCCAACCACCTTACACATGGTAAAGTATCTCCACCCCAGGCAGCGTATGAAAAGTGTTCTGCAATTTTAATTTGGCTAAGTAGCAGCCAGTGACAGACAGTGGCAAAAGGATGCGAATACCTTGTTAGCGGGAAGGACTCGGATGCGACCTAGAGATACCCTGCGCTCCCCAGGGAACTGAGTGGCCTTGGACTTAATTCCGTGGCCCAGAATGGTCGAACTTCTCGTGGCCCTGCTACCCTACGGAGTCTGAAAAAACGCTAATTTAATTTTAACTTTGTGCATCCTTTGCTCGGACTTTCTGTCGGATCTTCTCCGCTGTTTGGCCATATATATATACGTATACGTATACCTCGTTCCATTCGCCCTGTGTTTGATTTCGCTGTCAGCGTCTTTGGCACACTTTTGCAGCGCATTAGAGGGCTCAACTTTGGGCGGGCGGGCAGTGGAAAGTTAAAGTCAGAAACGGAGACGGCAAAAAAAAAAGAAAGCTCGCAACGGACGCGAAAGAGTAAAAGTAAAATATTTGTCCTGCCACGGCCATTGCAAGTGAACAGCGCTGATTGCGGCACTAAAAAGGAACGGCTCTTGTGCGGCGATAAGATTTCCAGCATCGCCGGCCAACTGCCAACTGCCAACTTCCCCATCCCAACTCCCAAGTTAATCGGTCCGAAGTTTGGCCATCCGCCCTCTAATGTGCCGGCCAAACTTTTGGGCCCGGCTCAAAAGCAGTTGGCACCTCGGTCCGCTTTCAGTTATTTACGCAACGTCGTCTGAACCTGACAATCAGCAGCAATTTGCCGCAGCTCCTGGGATCCGCACTCGGATCCACATCCACATCCACATCCGCATCCGAATTCTTATTCTTATTCAGAAAGCATCCGATAAGCATAACAGTTGTCGTCGTGCCGCCGGCTCACACCTTGAGATCCGATTTTTGGGGTGGGTTCATCCCTAGTGATGAGCAAAAAGGGTCTTAAAAATATTATGTGTTAACATAAAATTAAGGGCTTATAGTTTATATACTTTTTTCTTATTTTTATTTATTTTTCATAAATATTTTTATTTCTTAGCTCTATCAGCAGAATTCAGCGTTCCTAAAATATACTTCACATTCAGTAACTTTGTTTAAAAAATGGTATATCAACACCAAACCCTACCAAAATATTTTTTTTTTTTTGTTATTTAATTCAAAATCTGTCCTTGGGAGAATCAATAAATTTTTTTTTAAGTACCATGACCAGAAAGATTGTTAATACAAATTATTATTACAATGTACTGTAAGGCACATTAAAATAAAATGAAGAGTAAACATGCAGTGCTGATAAATATTGTTCTGATAAGTATAAAATTCTATCAGAATTGGAACAAATATTTTTGTAAGTGCTATCTTAATTTGCTGCTTTCGAGTTCGTTGGTGCTAATTACTATTAAAACCGAATACTAATCGTTTAAATAATTGCAAATAATTTATGAACAGAAAGATAGTATAATTTATAAGTTATTTTATTTATTTAATCAAGGTGATTATAATTGTCTTAAGAACAAACGTACTTATTTAAACTTTGCATATAAAAAATGTACATCGTATTATATTTAATCGGGAAAAAGAGGACTTAAAGAAGGACAATTTGTCACCTCTGGTGGGTTTGGTGGTTTCAGTGGGTGGGTTAGGGTGGTTGGGTGATTGGGAGGTTGGGAGGCTGGGCGGCTGATGGCGGTGCGCTGCTGCCAACAAATCGTCGCCAGCTGGCGGCGACAATAAAACGTTTTACAATGTAACCAAGGCGACGACAAGGAGCAGGATCCGTGTGGCCATGTGTGGCCAACAATGTGCAACAAAGTTCATAATTGTTTATGGCTACGGCTTCGATTTGATTTTTATGACTTCAAGGGTTCGGGCAGTGATTGAGTGTCGGTCCAGCGAAAGCAGGAGGCCATATATGAGCCATGCCAAATTCAGGGGAGGAAAAATATCAAAAAGTTTTTACTCCAAAGGTTAGAATTTTCTACTTGTTAAAGGAATTCTTTATACCCAGTAAAAATCAAAATAAATATTTTTCACAACTTATAAATTCTAAGCAAGTTTTTAAAATAACATTCGAGACCATTTAAATAAAAATGCAAATACAGAAGGGCACCAAACAATTTTCTTTGTTTATTTCCTCGAATAAAATTTACTGGGTCTTACATTTTAAGACCTTTGCACCGTTGCTTCCCGTTCTACATTTGGCTTAATAGCATAGAAGCATTAGGGATGAAATTTCAGACTATATTATTCCCCATCCTGCGATGGGGAGCAACCCCCACCGTGTTGGCTTCATTATATTGAAACTTTGACGTCGTTATTTTGCATAATTTACAGCACGCTTGAATGCAGCAGCCAAGTATAAGTATATTTCTATAACTACGCCGGAGATGGGAAAATGCGAAGAAAGTGCGGGGAAAGCACTGTGCGTGTCGGTTGTCAACGCTACCTTGGCACATGCGAAACGTGAACTTCGAGACATCGAGTTAATGATTCGCACTTGTTCGCCCTAGCCACGCCCCCGACTTTTGTGCGCCAGTAATGAAGTTGATTTATTGCATTACAAGACTTTCCGGGCCCCGTCGATTTCCTCAGCTCAAAACGCAGAGCATTGAACTCTGGGCTCAATTGAACGGAGGAACTAAAGACGAAAATAGATGCATTGTGGCTGGAGATAGGGGCCGGCTGAAGTGCATCTGTTCCGCTAGTTCCGCTGGATCGAACCATTTCCTAGACCTCTATTAATAGACGGTATAACACCCTGCCCCCAAACTCAGACACGCGTCTGCGATCGTCAGTCTTCCTAATGTTAAATTTAGAATGTGGAGAACTAGGGCCCGTCAGCCACCCAAAAAAAACATAAGTCTGGAGCTCCAACTTCAGTTTCTTGAGGATCGCGATGGAGTGCAGAGCTGTTCCCATTCTTCCCACCTACTCTCAAGCCTGGTTCGTAGTGCTCTGTGTCTGAAAAACCTAAAGGCATCCTAAAAAGTTCGATATTCTCCAACAGCGGTACTTCCCTGCCCCGAAAGCCGTCCCTTTGCCGCACTCTCTTCGATTACGGACCTCTAAACGATCCAGTGATAATACTCATAACTCTAGCCGTGGTAGTGGGATCCTTCTGCCTGCTTAGCGGGTTTATTCTCCTCTGTGTTGTATCGAAAGCCTGGCAGGATGAGACCTCCGAGGCCATTCTTCTGATGGGTGAGTAGCAGTGCTCCATATGGGCTTATATACAAGCTAAAGTTACGGATTTTAGCGATTGGATTTTTTATCACGGCCCTTTCCTGCGTATCCTGGAAATTAACGCGAGCCCAACGGATCACTCAACTGGTGGATGCCCTCAGCACGGAGAACCAGACTATTTGACAGTACTTGTGTACAGTGTATAATATCTACTTGATGTACAGTCAATTGTAATTCCAAGAGAGCTGAGAAACTGAAACGTACAAAAATAAAAACTAGTCTTTTTTTAAATAATCAAAACCGAACTTAAAATCAGTTATTTCGAAGTATATGCCTTTTTTTGTCAAACTGACCTATTTGCTAATCTTACTTGCCATAAAAAAAATTACATCTTTCAAGTTATAATTGTATTATTTTCTATATTTATTTTATGTCTATATTTTTTTTACTGATCTCCCTTGTTTCAAACTACAAACTTATACCTGTTTCCCACAACAAATATGGGAATGGAAATGGGAATATTTTACTGTGTGGGTCAGCCCTCGTAGACAACGATAGGTCTCACTCCTAAATCATGGAGATCTTGTGATTAAGGTTACGGGAAAGTAGAATTACTATTTTAATCTATTAGTTGACCTCACAACGATCTCGTTATGCAGTGGTAAGGGGACAGGACGTAGTCTGCCCGGAGCAAGAAATTATTGAGGCATCTCTAATTTTTGAACTACCTGGTAGTTAAGGGGCGAAATCAGGGTGCCTCAGCACAAGAAGTAGGTCCTCTGGAACGAATCAGGTATATTGTTGTTAAGGAGCAGCTGCACTTTCCTTTTATTCTAAGTCCCTCGAGTTCTGCTGCAACTCGCGTTTTTGCTTTGCACTTATCTACGCCATTTAGGGACACTCTCTGTTGTCTATACGCTTCTTCTCTTTAATGTGTAGAATCTGTCGGACAAGACAATCACTTCAGACTACTCTTTATCAGCCGACACTTACAGGGCTACTTCGTATTGTTCCTCTCACAGAATTTCTGACCCAAAGTAAGGCATATTAATAGAAGTAGTAATCTCAATCCCAAGCTCAGTTTGCAAACTCATCCACAGAAGTTAATCAAGCTTTACATGGATTTTTCTGGATTTTTAGAAGCTCTACACTAATAATACCATCATATCTCAAAAGGGTTACAAAACGGGATTTAACTGTATTTTTAAATTGTTATTTTATCTATTTCAATGTTACATAATTACAAATTAAAAGTATACTAACTGTTCTAAGAGTGATTAAACTCAGATGACACTAACTTATTTACATGCAGGCCAGAAAAAAAGATTACATTTACAGCGAAAAAATGAATACTGAGTTAGGGTAATAAATATTTTGTGTATTAATAATTAATAATAAGTATAAAATAAAATAAAAAATCTAAACAACTGATTAGTAAACTGAGATTTTGCTGATAATAAATAAGTGCATCCAATGTAACTATACATTACGATTACAACAATATTCTATCAATATTTTATTGACGGAACCAAATAAGCTAAGTATGAAGATAAGTCAAAATACTTGTCTTAGTTGAAATATCAAGAATTTATAATTACACTTTTAGTGATTATTGTTAATGTATAATTTAAAAAAAAAAATGTTATGAAATTATTCATACCATTTAAAGCATGACATGACGATAAGACTTGCTTGTATATGTACTTATTGCAGGATATGTGAGTGTTATTAAACATTTATAAACCAATTATAAAGAAATTTAGTAAGAGTATAACTTTTGGTACCAATCCATTTTTTCAGTGGCATTTTTCTAAGGAGGACTTTCTTTTGAGCAACAGCTTGCAAATCGTAGGTAACCAGAGCTAATTCCGCACCCCATCTTGATTACACAGACATGACCTATCCCTCGACAGCTGAGGCGGGAAAAGAAAGCAGCTGCTTAGGCCTACCTGAGATCATTTTCCCTTCGTATTCAGTCCTCAACTAGAACTCATCGGAGGATGCCGCACTTACAGAACGCCGATCGGGATTTTCCCATGCACTGGGCCTTGAATCCCATTCGTATCTCTAGAAGTCTCTCCGCAAATACTCTTTCTCTATATAGAAAAATCTCTCGCAATATGTGGCGATACTGCACTCAATTCTGCCACAGTCCAAAGTTTCAGCGTTATGTGAGGTGAGTTGGGGAACGAACATATATTCAGAGAGTCCCGACTTCAGCCAATTCTTCCAGGTTCCTCGAGTCCAGTCTCTGCCAATTCTAAAGAGCAATGCGCCAAGGAAATGGGCAGCTGCCTCTGATTTGCAATCTTCGCACGTAGACGATGCCAAAATGTGTTAGTTGAATTCATTATAGCGAAGCTCAGAGAGACGGCAGTCAACGATCTCGGTCCGGAGAGGTATTCGATGTGTTTTGATTTTAGAATGCAGTAATATATTCTTCATTTTGTGGCATCGTAAAATGAGGCCTGCACCACAAGGCATGACGCCAGCGGAACGGGGCATTACCAGGCCGGCAACTGGGAAACTACCCTTACTCCGGCGATCCCACAATCCGACCACCAGTTTCCGCACCAGGGGAAAACACATCGCTTGGAGCAGCCATAAATTCCAGACCCCTCAAAGCCGAGAGCTCAGTATCGTTCCGTAGCCAGACGAGTGAAGATTGCTAATTGCTAAGCCCCCAACCAGTTGTCGAGCACCAGAACATGGAGATCATTCGATTCGTTGACAGCGCTCTCAGAGCTTTGATCGCCGGCAGCCTTCTCATCCTGATGACGGCCATATACCGGGAGGACAACAACGCCGGCTCCCACTACATCCACCCCAGACACACCATGCACTGACTCCGAAGGGATCTCTGGATTCCAATTTCACCTAGTCCCCTCGAAAATGCGCCAGAATAACCGGTTGAGTTTAGTGCCGATTCGACGCCATATAGTCTTATCAACAAACTGAAAAAATAACATTCGGTACATTCTGTTCAATTTAAAACTCGCCCCCTCGTAAAATAGAATAACTAATATTGTATATACTAAATTATGTTTAAACCTCTAATATAAACAAGTAATATATCATTGTGTTAATTTTTAGAATAACAAAAATATCTTTGAGTTTTTAATTTATTAAAATCTAAACTGGAATAGAGTTCTTCACTTTTAAGCTGATTGAATTGGGTATTTTTACGACATGCACTGAGTCAACTCCCATATGGTCTGAGATCGGGAGGTGGTCACAAAAATCGATTAGCAAGCTGGCCGCACTCCCCTCAAACGGGTTGCAGTTTCAAGCGATTCGAGCTTGTTTTTAAAAAAGTATTTATTATAAGCACGTGTACTTCAACATGAGTCGACTTCAGCACGAATATCTTTCTTTATCCCTGACACAATTTAGAAGCTGACCTTAGCTAATAACCGCAATCACGTTTTTGTTATTAGAACAAGTGTGTTTTTAGCGGCGTTTTTGGTGAAAACTAGTTTAAGGAACCTTAACATTTGGCATATACATTTTTGTGTGGTACTAGCTTTTTTTAATATCACTTCAACAGATAACACAAAAATTATGAACTTATATTTAATAAATTGTTGGATATATATAACATTTTAAGATACATACACCAAGTTTAATAAATAATAATAATAAAATAGCTATATTCATATGAATACTTTTTACACAGACTCATACCATTTTATTCTACACATGTAGTAAACATATCTTACATTTTCAGGGTTAAGCCAGGTTTACAACCGACATCATTTCAAATGTAAAATGTATGTTATCATGGCAAATTCTATGTAGATAAAAGCAAAGTTACGATTATTGTTTATATTTCTATCTTCAAATAGAATAAAAACTGATTAATATCAGTGCCATTGTCTTACAAGGGTGGAAACCCTGAACCAGAATTGCAAACATCCTCAAGTAAATGTTTTTTATAAGCTTGTAAACAAGTCGTGAAATTGAAAAATCCTTCTTTTCCGCATTACTATATTAGTCATGACTCATGACTAAATTCCTTATCTGTTGTTGTACGGTATTCAACTTAATAATAATTCTTATCAATATAAATAAGGTTTCATGCGCTTTTATTGGAACAAGATTCTTAGAAACAGTAAAAAGCCGATAAGCTTTATTTGATAACTTGTTACTGACTAAATTAAAAATTTCAATGTTGATATTTTTTTTAGAATAACATAATTTTGAACCTTTCAGGCGATAAATATATTTTAGCAAATAGTATACATTTTCTTAAACAAGGAGTTCAGATTAAAATGCTCCCTTGTAGGCTGAAAATTATAGTGGATATAAGAATTCGGGGAATTTGTCATTCTGTCTGAGTAATAAGGGTCTCTGCATATCCTGGACGGGTCCAAACTGCCTTACTACCCGTTCGATCCAGTGGCCGTGGCCCAAGACATCTGTGAGTACACTAGCATTCAGGCACTGATTGCTCACCCAGCTGGCGATGCCCACTTGGACATAGCGGTTGTGCTTCTTGTAAAGCATTTTTCGGATCTGTGGACCACCGAGATCTCCAGTGCAGAGGGTTTTGTTACCGTTGCCGCCACAAATCTGATCGGAGGTCAAGGGTTTTCCAAAGATTTCAGAGCATAACTCTTTAGGTTGGCGACTGATGTCCATTTTTTGGAGAATGCTGCTCCTCTTATTCTCAGTAGTCTGTCCCCAACCGGTGATCGTAAACCAGTTGAGCTGATCCACATGTTCCCTAAGCCGTTCGTCCACAAAAATGCAAATAGGCCGGATGTGAGCTGAAGATGGGAGAAGTTACTTGATTGAGACGAAATCCCAGTCTGGTTTTAACTTGACCTACCTAAATACTTCACCCTTTTGTCGAGCCGCAACATCCCGATGTCGTTGGCATGCGTACTTGCTTCGTAAAACTTATGCTTGAAGGCCATGTCCACCTCGTACTCCTGGGCGTCTCCCTGGCATCTTTGATGCTTACAGTCCAACTTGGTATCTACGTTGTACTCACCCAGGTGAACCGTTCTGAAAGAAAATTATATCATCAGTTTGATATTGCATCTTAAGTAATAAAAAATCTTAGGCGAATTTTTCGGAAATAATAGAATATTATCAGCTTGAAATTCCAACTTAACTTATCCAAGATCTCAAGATAAATAAATAACTTACATTTCCAAGTCGTCAGGAATGCATTGAGCAGCTGTTAGGACGAACCCTAAAAAGAAATTATTAAGTATACGCTATAGGAATGCTTTATTTCCAACCAACAGTGATTGATAAGGGTGCCGGAACAATTCAATCCACTTGGAGTTGTCAGATAGGCCATCCATGGATTTTCTCCCAACTTCGCATCCTGACCGTTCATGATTCTAGCGGAAAAAGAATTTTCGATCCCGCAATCCTCCTCCAAGAGAAAGGGCTTATATCCAAGGACCCTCAGCGGGAGGCAGGCGATGACTGCGATGATGATCTTCATCATTGTGAGGCGATTCATTCTCTGACGCTGCGAGGCACGACCGCTATTTAAATTACCTCTTGAGAGTCTCTTATCAGGAGACTCTTATCCGGGGAATAACCCGGGCAAAAAATTTATTTATTATTATTAATTATTATTTATTTATTAAAGTCTTGTTTTTATAGAATTGTTTTTCTGCCAAAAAGACTAATTGTACTTCACACAACGTCATTATTTTTTTAAAGATTAGTCAAGTAAGTTTGTTTTTCTGCAAATCTGTATAAATAAATCGCTAAATACGCTATAGTATTCTTAGGTTTGATAGTTTCTTTTATTAAATATGAAATACAACAGCCTTTGAATTTTTTCTATTATATAAAGAGCAGTTTCTAAGAATTAAACATTTTTCTGTGTACATATGTATAATTTATATTTATTCACCCGAGTTTAAGTTAAATCAATCATAAGTTTTTATATGTATTCAGAGTCGTTAACAGGTCATTAAAAGTTCCAAGAAACAGTAAAGTTCATTTCCTGCTCTTGGCTGTTCTCACTACCATATATTAATAAAGCCTTGAATCGGAATCTAAAGAATATGTTGTTCTTCTATCGTCCCTGGGGGTATTCCAATCCACTATCCTTTTGATCCATTCGCCGTAGCTCACGACGTCCGTGATAATGCTGACCGTGCACCCAGAATCCGAATAGCTGGAAATGCCCATCTGGACGTAGCGATACTCGTCGCCATCATGCATCCTTACCATCCTCCCCTGCGGACCACCGGAGTCCCCTTGGCAGAGGTTACGGTCTTCGGTGCCCACGCAGATCTGTTGGGGAGTCAACCGTTGGACAAACACCCAGGCGCACTCAGTTTGATTCCTGCGATTTATTTTCACTTCTTGAAGAACGCGACTCCCCATGGAATCGGGACCCGGAGTGGTTCGGCCCCAGCCGGTGGCTGTGAACCAGGTGGCCTCCACCGTCAGCCACTTCATATTACTGTTTTCTAAAATGCAGATGGGTTTGATATGGGCTGCCGGCGAAAGAAACATCACTAATTAGTAAAAACGTTGCTTTTGGAGCTCAATGGACCCACGTAAGTACTCCACCCTCCTTTTGAGCCTCAGCAATCCGATGTCGTGGGTATATATTTTGTTATTGTAGTGCATGTGCCTGAAACCTCTATCTACCCCGTACTCTTCGAAGTCTTCATCTGAATCCCTATGGTATTCACCCAAGCGAACAATGCTGAAAGGAACGACATTATTAGCAAAGAAATCAGAACAGTTATCTGAAAGTTACAATTAATTTGTATTCACATATTCGTATGGTAAAATACCAAAGATTCTATGATGTTATTTATTTTCGTTTAATATATTTAAAAGATTACTTACTAGTCCACCCCCTCATCGAAGCAATGGGCCGCCGTCAAGACAAACCCTGTAAAATACAACTTCGATATTACCTCGATAATACATGATTCATTTGCAAACGAACAGTGATTGATAAGAGATCCGGCGCATCTAAAGTAAATCGGCGTATGCAGAAAGGCCATCCAAGGATGTAATCCTAATCCCGCTGGCTTACCACCAATGATTTTCGGCTGAATTGTAGACACTGTCCCGCAGTTCTCCTCTAATAATTGGGATGAAGAACCAGGGACTTGAAGCCACAGCCACAAGATTACTGCGATTCCAGTGAAAACACTTGTCATTCCGCGACAAGTCATCCTCACATACTGATACTTCAAGTCGTCGTCGAATTTTTGGAGAGCGTTATCACTGGCTTTATTCGGGAAAGACCCATTGCGATTCCAGCGGTGACTTAATTGTTTTGTATTATAACACACTTATCAGAAAACTCATAAAAGGACCGACTCTAAAAAATGTTGTATGAGAGTATAATATACAAAATATTAAAAATATTTGTATACTACTATCAATATAACAAATATTTTTATATGTCTATAGTTCAAAAGGAGTTCAACTCTGATGTATTCTCTACAAAATATGGAAGAAAACTATAAAGACAGATTTCTTGTAATAACTTTTATTAAGTTTTCGTTTAATTTAAGTAAGTAATCATTTCGGATAAATCCTTTTACTTTTTGCACTTGCAGCAAAGCTTTTTTTGGGCGTGTAGGAAGCGCCTTCGAACAGTGCGACCACATCCTGAATCCACCAGTAAAATTGCATTACGTCGGTGTAACCCTGTGCCCCCTGACAATCCATTTCGCTCAAAGTCGAGATGCCGAACTGAACAAACCTATTTTCATTTCGATGTCTAAGGAGTTGGGTCAGTGCTGAGCCAGAGAGACCATCGCATGACTGCCAATTGTCCGAGCTTCCAGCACAGAACTGGGTGTATAAGTCGAGTCCGTCGCAGAACCGAGGCTTACGTTGAATGCTTATGGGCCCAAGATCCGTAGTCCTGTACATGCCATCCACATTCATTCCCCGCCAGGCAGTTCCAATGAATTCATTCACCTGTTGCTGCGGATTTGGATCCACGTTAATGCAGATCGGCTTTATGTATGCTGTGAAATAAATTCGCCGTCAGGGAACAGACTCGAAATCAACTATTTGCCATTACTACTTACATTTAAACTGCACTTCCTTGGTCAGTTTTAGCAAGCCAATGTCATTGGAATACGATTCGTTGTTATAGTATCGATACCTGAGAGATAAGTGTACTAAATGATCTTCCGCCAGTTCACCTGGGCTTCTTCCGAACTCCCCCAAGCGAACTTTTCTGCAAGGAACAAAATTTAATAATCGTCTTTTTTCTGGAGTTGCTCGTAAAATAAGTTAAAATAACTGAACTATACACACATGTTTTTTGCGTAATACTTACACGACGCCTTTAGTTTTAATGCAGTTCGCAGCAGTTAATATAAAAACTGAAAATAATTTAAATAGTTTTATTATTACTTTAGTGCTTAAAATCTTTTAACAATTTTCAAGTCAAAGCCTAAGCCCCATTTTATCTTTAGCAGTTTATCAAGCTGAAACATGTGGCTTATGTGTGCATATTTTCATTTAAATTGATAATTATAATTGATCGATTAAATACAAACTGGACCATTGAATAAAGAACTCGCGGTTGATTTTAATGTATTCTGATAGCAAAAAATAAGAATAACATCCGAGAATTTTTAACGAAAGTTATATCACAATATCAGTAGTGCGTAAGCAAAGAATGTATACTCAAAATCGAAATCAGCTTATAAAAGTAGCTTTTCTTCGGTTTATTATTCAGTGAAACTCCCGTCGCATACTTACATTTAGTGATCAGTGTTCCGGCACAAAAGAGTTGGCCGTTTTCCTGCAATAGAGCTGTCCAGGGACCCACGGCTCCCTGGTATTCGCTTCCGCAGTCATTGTTTAGCCAACTTGCGGATCCGGAGTTGGAACAGATAAAAAGCAGGCTGGCGAGCACTGCGATAGCACTTAATGAGCTGTTCATTGCGATCGGAACAACGCCTACATACTGAAATACTGAAAATCTTTCGGCGTTGAACGCCTTTAAAAATTCTCTCAGTTTCTCTTCAGACCTTATCAGCGAACAGCTGGTATTAGGGGTCAAGCTTGTGATTCAGTTTAAAAGCAAAAGAGAACATTCTTGGAAAGATGGCTATCGCAAAAAATATTCTTAAAGCAGTATTGTTTGATTGCCAAAACCAATGCTTTTCTTAAAATGATAATGCATTGTATTCTTTAATAATTAAAAGTATAATATATAAAATAAGTATTTATGGGAATTTTTTGGGTTTGTGCCATAGTTGAAACGTTGTGTCCCTTAATTTAGAATGATTTATTGAAAAACAAATGATTTCATCAATGTTTGTAGATAAACAAATATGTATCGAAGTTTGAAATGGAAAGATGGAAAGAATTTTTAACAAAATGAATTTAATTAATTTCCAAGGAACCGCATCGCCATCTGAAGCCAATCAATGTAATTGGGCACAAAAGTGTACACTCCTGGACTTCTACACTGTTTTGGGCTAAAGCTCACGATGCCCAGCTGCAGGTAACGATTGACTCCATCGAAGTTTACCTTGGTCACGAGAGGTCCACCGGAGTGGCCGGAGCAGGTGTCCTGTTCGTCGTAACCAGCGCAAATCTGGTTCTGGGTGACTGTCACTCCAAGGTTTTCACTGCAGTAACTTGTATTATACCGCGCAAGTACTGTGGTCTGAAGTACAGTGGAATACTGATGCTTCGCAGTTTGGCCCCACCCGAAAGCCTTATATTCATCGACATTGGGCACACTGGCCGGATTAAGCCCCAGGCAAATGGGCTGAATATGAACTGGGGAATAAAAAATTTAATATTTCTGCATTAATGACAGTCCCATGCCTTAAAATTAATTTGTCATCTATAAATTCAGTCAGAAGCCCTCATGTTAGTTTATTTTTTTAAATATATTGAAGATATCTATAAAGTATTTAAAAAATCTTCAAGCCTATTTTTCACACACATTAATAATAAATATAAATAAGATTGTAAAAATTACTCACTATTGAAATTGATTGTTCGGTTTACTTTGACCAGTCCTATGTCGTGGAGCAGGGAGTCGTTATTGTAGAATCCGTGCTTTGCTGCGACATCAATGCCATACTCCTCAAAACGTGGAGAGCAATTATGCCCCTGGCAGTCGGGATCCGTTCTTATATCGTGTTCTCCCAGTCGCACCATTCTGAGTTGCAAAATTGAAAACATAACCAAGTGGTTAATGTAACTTAAGATACAAGAACTTACAAATGGTGCTCAATGCAGTGCGCGGCAGTTAGTATGTATCCTGGAATCAGTTAACGATAATATTAAATAGTATATCTAAGCATTTTAAAATAAATTACGAACTTGAGTTGATGATCGATCCACTACAATGTATTTTGGAGCTGTTGAAAAAATATGCCTTGAACGGAGCCGATCTTATTACAGCTTGTTTACCGTTCGTGATCCTAGTGCCCATATAGGATTCATAAGATACACCACAGATCGGATTCAGAAAGTAGGCGTCCACTACTAGCTGCTGAAGGATTAGACAGAAGCCAATCATAAACCGAGCTGAGGAAGCCTTAATTTCGCGTGATGGTTTTATAGTCACTAAACAGATTGCAACTGGTGAAGCTGTTCTTATCAGCCAAGAAATGGAAGTCCCCCATCACAATTCCAGGAAACGTAAGTATTTGTCGCCTTCGGTTTATTGACATGCAGTATAATAAATTAATTTTTACAAGGACCTTACCATAATCAATAATAAAAATTATTGATTAAGAACCATATCTCTGAATAACCTGTCTGATCCATTCAATGTAGTTCGGCACAAATGTATAGACTCCCGGACTTCTGCACTTATCTTCACCAAAGCTCACGATGCCCAGCTGCAGGTTGCGGATAACACCATCGTAATTCACCTTGACCACCAGAGGTCCACCGGAGTCGCCGGAGCAGGTGTCCGAACCCTGAAACCCGACACAAATCTGGTTATGGGTGATTGGCATAGGGAGCACCATTCGGCAGTAGCTGTTGTCGTAGCGGGATAGTTTGGTAGTCTGGAGCACATTGGATGAACGATTGCTGGCTGTTTCGCCCCACCCGAAGGCCTGGTACTCATTTACATTGGGCGTAGCCGCCGGATTAAGGAGCAGGCAGATCGGCTGGATGTGGACTGTGGAATAAAATAATAAGTAACGTATTCATCTTCATTGGCACTATCACTATCTTAAAAAATAAATCTTAAAAATTCATGGCCATTTGGATCTTTTACGAAATTTTCGTATATGATATTTATTTGAGGGCTCCTAAAGGGTCACCCTACCTACCATTGAAAATTATATTCCTACTCAGTTTGAGAAGAGCAATGTCGTTGGCTAGGGTCCGACTGAAAGATCTGTGCTTTGTGGCAGTCAAAATATCGAACTCCTCAACGGGGGGAGCGCAATTAGTCCCCTGACAGTCGGGATCCCTTGTAATGTCGTGTTCTCCCAGGCGCACTTTGCTGAATCGGAGAAATAAATGGTTATATGGGAGAATATTTGATGCAAGTGAGGAATACCTACAGATAGGATCTCATGCAGTGAGCGGCCGTTAGGACGTATCCTGAAAATAGATAACGTCTTTAAACAAAGGAAGCTTTCATTTAAAGACTTTTGAAATACGTACTTTGGGTAATGATCGTTCCGCCACAATAAAGTTCCGAGTTGTAGTACAAGTATGCCATAAACGGAGCCGACTTTATTATGGCCTCTTTTCCGCGCACTATTCTAACAGACACGTTGGACTCATAGGAAATCCCACAGGTCGGGTTCAGGAAGTAGTAGGCCACCACCTGCTCCTGTAGAATCAGGGCAACGACAATGAAGATCCCAACCGAAAAAGACCTCATTTCGCGTGACGGAATTCGTGGTTACTGAACTCTTTGCAGTTGGCGTTTCATATTAAATGAGATTCAAGCTGAGCTTATCAGGAATGCGATTCGATGGAAGTGAATGCAATGCACCGCAATAAATTTGTTCGACTTAATCTGATTCAATTGTGTGAAAAAATAAGCCTTTATATTAATCAAAACCCCACTTCTCAACATGGTATATAATATTTTACGAATTCGTTTATTAGTTTATTGCTCTCCATAATGTTATGTTTAAGTTGTATCTTTTTTTCAGTAAAAATTCCAAGGAATATAGGAATGCCTTCTAATACTGGCCAAAATAATTAATTTAACAGAAAGAATGAATGATTTTTGATCCATTATCAATATCAAGTTTTCTTCGGCGATGTATTTTCATAAAATATTATTTTTCAAAAATACTTAAGCTGTTTAAATTATTTGGCAGATCAATTGTTCGGCATTCTTGGTGCCTGCACATAGGTGTTATCCCGCACTACGGCTGCGATCCAGTTGGTGTAGCTGTACACATCCGTGTAGACCCCGATGCCGGCGCAGGACAAACTCCCGTAGCTGACTACTCCGAACTGCACGTCTCGCACCTTATTCATGTGACGCACTTTCCGGATTAGCGGGCCGCCGGAATCGCCGCTGCACGTGTCGCCTTCGTTGCTCCCGGCGCAGAACTGGTTACTCTGCACGGTCCTCTCGAGGGACCTCCAGCAGCGGTTGGGATCAAAACGGTGGAGCTTCACGGTCTGGAGCGCACCTCGGGTCCTGTTCGTTTTGGTTTCACCCCATCCGGCGGCGATAAACCACTGAAGACTCTGGACAACGTGCCTTTTCGTGGTGTCCAGGATTATGCAGATGGGTCTGATGTGTTCTGCAAGTAAAGACTCTGAGTATTTTGGACTGGCAGAGTTGTTTTTCTAATCCCACGTTTAAAAGTCACAAACCGATCCAAGCGCAAAAGCGCGATGTCGTTCATGTTTCTCTCCTGGGAATATTTCCCATGTCGGATTCCCAGGTCAACATTGTACTCCTCGATTATCGGGATGCAGACCTTGTTGACGCAGTCCACTGTGGTGGTATCATCGTACTCACCAAGACGCACCTTTCTGCTCAAACCAAGTTCACACATTATATAAATTTTAATGGATAGATAACAAGAAAGGAAGTTAACTTCGGTAAGCCGAAGTTTGTATACCCCTGCAGTTATAATTATTAAATTTAAAAATACAAAAAATGATATTCTCAATAGTATAAGATAATATGTCAAAAAACACCGAATCTATAATTTGTTTCATATTATTTTCCCACCAATTTTTCGATCGTTCCTATGGCAGCTATATAATATAGTCGTCCGATTTTGATAAAATAAATTCGAAATTCAGAACTAATTAAAAAATGTTATTTCCAAGCGTAGGAGGTTATATGCTAAAACTGAGAGACTAGATTGCGTAAAAACGGACGGACCGACGGAAATGGCTAGATCCACTCGTCTAGTCATGCTAATCAAGAATATATATACTTCTCCTTCACTGCGTTGCAAACTTATCGCTATAGTCGAGTACCTCGACTATTAGATACCCGTTACTCAGCTAAATGGAGATATGCAAGTAGCAAAGCGAGATTAAAATGCGACACCTACCGGCGGTAGACAGATTTAAGCGTTTTTTTGGTCAATCAATAGGTATTGACGAGACCAATACATTTACGTTTTTTAATTTTTTAATTTTTATCTAGCATGGAAATTGTGGGCGTCACAGGTTTTCGCGGTTTGTGGGCGTTAAAGTGGGCGTGGCAAACTTTTTTTAGGGCAATCGATAGGTATTGATGAGAACAATACATTTCAGTTAAAATTTTTATTCTAGCATCAAAACTGTAGGAGCCACAGTTTTGGGCGGTTTGTGGGTGTTACAGTGGGCTTACTTACTTGCGCTGCGTAAGAAGCTCAGAAATCTGCATGCCAAAACTCAATAGCCTAGCTCTTATAGTTTCCGAGATCTCAGACGGACAGACGGACAGACGGACATGGCTAGATTGACTCGCCTAGTGATCCTGATCAAGAATATATATACTTTATGGGATCGGAAACGCTTCCTTCTGCCTGTTACATACTTTCCGACGAATCTAGTATACCCTTTTACTATACGAGTAACGGGTATAATTATGAAAAATACTTAGTACTTTTCTTGGTACTAGATTTATAGTCACTACATACACGGCCATTCCTTCAAAAACACAGTGCGCTGCTGTCAGGACGAAACCTGTCGGGGATATCTGTTGTTATCGACTGTTAGGAAGACATCGAGCCAATTATACCCACGCTGGGTGATGAGGGTGCCTCCACAAATAAGTTTGGTGGAGGAGTGGATGAAAGCCATCCACGGATTTGAGTTTATTATCGCATCCGCGCCACCGATTATTCTAAAGCTTGGTAGCGACTCCTTGTTAGGAACTCCGCAGTTTGGTTCCAAATATTCACCAGTGGACAGAGTACAGGCGATCCCAATAACGAGTGCTGTGATCGCAATAATAACACCCCCCATCTGTCTGGTTTGTTAGTCAACTGTCGGAGCTGCCCCTCGATCATCAATATATGTATTTTTGCCCGTCTCTCAGACAGCTTATCTCAATTTTTAATTATAATTACAATTAGTAGAAACATTCCAACGCCCGAATACCCTTGAAGTTCAATCGTAAAAATAAAAGTATGTGTATGGTAGTCCAAAATTTCCAATACTTAAAATTTTTGTATCTTTAAAAATATACTAATAAAAATGTTCTATACAAAATAAACTGTGAAAGTTTATTAATAACTTAGAAAATAATTCAAAAACTAAGGTACTGGGTGATGCATTTTTGGACCTATGGACCTTTTGGAAAGGCATTAAGAGCGAAGTTTCTTAGAAAATAGGTACTAAAGCGCGAAATCAGATTTCATTCATAAACAAATAAATCCAGCCTAGTATATATTTATAATGCAAATCGTTAATAACGATCAGTTAAGGTTTTTTAAACCTATATACACCAATGCAGCTGATATAATAAATATGCTTACACAGCAATAGCGTGCTCTTATTGACTTGGAAATTTCCAAAATAGAATAGTACATTTAATTTAATTACCTCTTGGTAAATCAGAAAATAATTTTGCAGAAAACATTTTCAATGAATGCATAGATTACCAATAAACGGGGAATCTCGAAAGCAAGGTCAATGATAAGCCTGTCTTTGTACCAAAAGTGTATCAAGTGCAGTCGAACTCTAAAGCCCGAATCATAATCTATCTCAAAATAGTTTGGATTGATGTTTAGATGGCACTTTATATAATTGACTTGACCTAATTTTTTTTCTTACTTATAGAGGCATCGTATTGGGATTGTTAAAGGTATAGAGTTTTAACTTTACTTAAAAAATCGTAATAATTTATAAATATTTTTCTATAGGTATATACAATTTTACTTTTGTCTTTTTAAAAACTATTTGATATAAAAATTTACGAACGGTAAGCATAGAACTCCATTTAATATAAATAAACCCTCTACTGAACCATACATTTATTACACTTCTTTTTTTAACCTATTCAGGTGAGTAACACCTTTTCAAAACAGTTATCGATACGGGTACTTTCAAGGGGGCGGTTTACCCAATCCGGAAGAGGGTGGCTGACAGGCTGGCCCAAAAAACAGGGTCAAACACCCGACCGGATGCCATGGCAACGCGGCCAGGACACGGGACTT